TAGTAGCGTCCTTGTTCCTAGTAGCGATGCCCGGGTTCCTAGTAGCTAATAATATGTGATCCACAATATGGTTCACTCAATCCCTTCTGCAAAACTGATGTTGATGTACCGATGTGTCCTTTAAATTGTCAGAAGACAGGCCCAACCCGTGGTCATGCTCCTTGAGAAGCTCTTTGAAATCAGGAGATGTTGCCACGACCATTGGGCTTGAACACTGTGCAGCTGCTGCGAGCAGCCAGCAATGCTTTAAACCTGGGCCCCAAGCAGGCGATGAAAGTGGCCGAGGACCATGTCAAAGAGATGGCCTTCCAAGTGACCTGAAAACAGGGAATGTTTAGAGGATATGTCTCACATGTTGCCACAAAACCTGAGAGCTCCTAGCTAGAACGGTCCTTCACCAGAAGTCCTCATGGCTCGCTCACCAGCATCGTATGCACAAGCTTCGCATGACCCTCTTTTTTTGCTTGACGGTGCATAATTGACTCATAAATTTGTCACATGATTGATGTGGTTCCTAGATTTAAAGGGAAACTTACACTAGTAGTAAGAATGCTCCTAGTAGCGATGCCAGGAGCCCCTAGTAGCGTCCTTGCTCCTAGTAGTAAGGCCAGGAGCCCCTAGTAGTTTCTTGTTACTAGTAGCAAGAATGCTCCTACTATGTTGGTTTCTTGCAAAACTTTTGCCCAGGACCTCTACTCTTCGGGTTTGATCAGCTACCCGCGGACGGAGACCACCCGGTACCACGAGACCTTTGATGCCCGGCCCTCCTTGCGCCCGTTGACCATGCTGAAGCTGGTCGGTGCCGCGCAGGCATTGAAGACCTGGATGGCCCAGTCGCACCAACAGAGCTACCGACGCTTGGGTGAGACGAGACAGAGGGATCTTTGAAAGAGGTGTCTCGGAGAAGCGCGGAGGTAAATGATGGTAAATGGTCAACTTGATGAGTCTATGAGCGTTTTGGTCCCCTGGCACCAGAGGAGATATGGATGGCATTGATCAAAGTAATCCCGAATCCCCAATCAAGTCGAGGTGTTGGTTTGGGGTTACATTCACCAACCATGGTGATTGGAGGGAGCAAATTCTAGCTCCTGCTTATGGATGATTATGGTCAGTAGCTGACTTTTAATTGTTATTCTTGTTGATGTTGTTGTTGTTGTTGTTGTGGTTGTGCTTGTGGTTTGTTTCTCACCATTATATCCCAAAGGTTCTGGGAGATCTGAAGACCCACTCCCTGTTCTGCCAAAAATGGGGGATGCTATTGGTGTTCACCTTTGATTCAGAGCTCTCACCGCAGAACCTCGCCAAAGACCAAGGAGCTCGGGACGTGGGAGATCATCCGCCCATCGTCCCCTTGCGAACACCAGAGCCTGGAGAGGTCAGCGGACAGCAGAAGCGGCTCTACGACTACGTGTGCCAGCATTTCGTGGCGTTACTGGATCCCAACTTGGAGATGTTGCAGATCAGCAGATCTATTTCTGTCCCTCTCCCCCTAAAGATTGGCGAGTGGGAAAGCTGTTCATGTTGGATTTATCAAGCGCATTGGAGATTGTTCTTTGGTGGGATTGGCTTTTAAGTCACATTGTTTGCCCAACTTCCAAGAGCATCTATATAAGCTATGATGGTGAGTCGTTCAGAGAGATGGGAGTTTTCCTTTGAAAGCCATACGCATGAATAAATACAATCAAGCTAAAGGGTGCATGAACTCTCTACCACAGTGAACAGGGTCTCTTTTCTCGGCCTTGGTTGGTTGCAGAACAGCTGGGCTGGCCAGATAAGAAGAACTGTGAGAGGCTGAGGAAAATGCATGGTGGGGCCTATGCAATGATACAATTGGGTTGGAACCTGGAATGTGGGTGGACGATCGGACAATTGATTGACAGAACCATGACGCAACTGAATCCTTTCATGGGATTTCAGTCTTTTTTTGCAAAAACGTGTTCAGTTCAGCACAGCGGCTCGGTTTTTCTCCCAGAAGTGAGAGCTCCACACCCCAGGTCTTGGCTTGCTGATGTGAAGCTCCAGCGCTACGAGGCAGCGGATTTTCCGACGTGAACCCTTCTAGAGTCGCCACACGTCGCTAGAGCTTCCGAAGACAATGAAGCACTGGGAAACTCACAGAGAAGATGTTTGGTAACATACTGGAATTGCTTATTGGCAGATGTTTTAATCGTTTTAATCTAGCCAAAGTGATTGTTCACCATTGTAGCAAATTCAATGTTGTTGTTTCATGGATGGAATATGATGCAAAGTATTTCAAGGCATGTAGGAGATTACTACGCGCAGTGCCACCCTTAATACATATAGTAAATACATGTGTGTGCACTTAAAATAGATTAAAATACTGTCCACGGGAGAAAAGAAAAACACAGAAACACATTGTGGCTACCAGTTTGTCCCATTTCCACTTGGGTGAGCTCGCAATTGTGGGGATAATATAGGTACACGCACACGGACGCACGCGCATCAATTTACCCAGCAAGTACACAACCATAAAAACATGAACCGGATGCTGGATGCAATGAACAACTTTTGGGAAGAGGACTGTGGTTTAACCCTAGTGAGCTGGGTCGTGCTCTGGAGGCCACAGTGGAGATTGAAGGTTTCCAATTCCAACTGCTGCTACGGCTCTTCGGGGCATCCTCTGGCTGGCTGCAAGCGATGCCCTGGCGGATCCGAGAGTGGCGCGCTTGCAAAGCGTTATCCCGGTGTGTGTGTACCTCTGTAACTAAGAGTTTTGAATGCAGGGGGGCAAGGCCTCCAGCGATGAACCTTGTCCAACGAAGCCAAGTCGCTGGAGGGGAAGCGAATGGAGACGTCCATTCGTGCACCTGCAACCGAAACTTTTGACCACGCTGTCTAATTTGCTTTGTTTGATTCCATGGTTCTTCATGCTACCACCCCCAAACCCACCGCAGACTTGCAGCAGACTTGCAGCCGCGCTGAGTGTCCGATCGTTTTCGAGTGCAATTGCAAACAAGGTTAAACCATACTGTTCTCGCTGACCTTTTCACCTTGCGGTTCTCCACCTTCCTTCCACCTGGGAACTGAGGTGACTGCAAACCAATGTCAGATTGTGACTCGCTCAGTCGTCCCACTTGGGTGCTGGGTGTGATCCTCCGCAAGGAGGCGCCGTTTTCATGCCGGAACTCGTGTAACTGCCTCAACCGTTTCCACCAAACCTTGCATTTTCTTAACTGCTTTAGTTTCACCACTGGATTGCCTGAAACATAAGCCGCCGGGCTTCACGGAGAATAAACCCCGACGTGTTTTCTACCCCAAACACCCCAACCCCTCCCACCCACTAATTAGGGTAACAGAGGGAAATGGTACTCGACACACTTGTGTGTCGGTGCCTTTCCCTCTGTTGTCCCTTTTCTAGTCTACTCTACCCGGGCGGTTTAGACTAAAGTCCCGCTCCCTAACTATTGCACTTAATTCATTTCTGCTAAGTAATCAGTAATTCTAGAGTGCTAAGTATTCATACACACACACGGACACACACATGTACATACACTTCCCTGCCCCCCACTTTCCTTCGTGCGCCTTTGGTCGTTTCTTGGGCTTTCTCTCAGGCTTTTTAGGTTGTTCTTGAGGCTCGTTTCCCTACCCCAGTCAAGGGCTAAGTATTCACTTTTGTCTACTCCTACCTTTCTCTCTTGCCCTCTTGGCGCTGCTCTTTCTGTTTTTCTTTTGCTTCTAAGGCTTTGTAGGTGCCTATTCAGGTCGTCCGCGAGAGCGCCGCAAAGCGGCATCGTGTGTGTGTCAACCTCTGTAACTAAGAGTTTTGAATGCAGGAGGGCAAGGCCTCCAGCGATGAACTTTGTCCAACGAAGCTAAGTCGCTGGAGGGGAAGCGAATGGAGACGTCCATTCGTGCACCTGCAACCGAAACTTTTGACCACGCTGTCTAATTTGCTTTGTTTGATTCCATGGTTCTCCATGCTACCACCCCCAAACCCACCGCAGACTTGCAGCAGACTTGCAGCCGCGCTGAGTGTCCGATCGTTTTCGAGTGCAATTGCAAACAAGGTTAAACCATACTGTTCTCGCTGACCTTTTCACTTTGCGCTTCTCCACCTTCCTTCCACCTGGGAACTGAGTTAACTGCAAACCAATGTCAGAGTGTGTGCGCGCGCGTGTGGTTTAGCCACGCCATTAATTACTAGTTTGTGCGAGTGGCTTTGAAAGGCCCTTCGTGTCAGATTACTTACGTTCAAGCTTCAAAAAAGGGTCGAGAAGTTGAAGTGGGCAGAGAGAGAGAGAGAGAGAGACTTAGTAACATGAACATGTTATTTCTCCTGAGCACCATTCTTGTAGGTGAGAAGCAGACCAGCAACCGAAAGGCCATAAACACAAGGCAAGTACCTTCCACTTTCCCCTGTGTGAGAGGCAGACGGACAAGCGAAAGGCCACAAACACGAGGTGTCGAGCAAGTTTGCTAGAATCTCCACATGATGCAAAGCACAAGTGACTATCCAGCTTGGTGGAGGCCATCACTATTAGGTTGGAGGCCATCGCTATCAGGGTAATCCAGCTTGGTGTTGGCATGCGGCTGATGAGTGCGCCTAAGATCTATTAAGATTTAGGAGTTGTTTTTTATTTGGGCAGCGGGCAAGCGCTCTGGTTCGCTGCGTTGTAGCTGTCCCTGGTTTGTTGGTTGCTGGATGCAATGGTGCAATGATGCAAGAAACACTGCGTAAATGAGTGCCACAGAATACCAATGCTGAACCTGCTATTATTTGCACTTGCATTGCAAAGACTGATGTCACTACTATGGGTTGTCCGAGCTATAATGCGCAATTTTGGACTTTCACTGCCAGAATTCACAATTTTGCAGTTCTTTGCCCAGTAACAAACCTGCCCAATGCAAATATACTAATGCACATGCACATAATAAATACTAACACTATGTGTGAACACACTGGGAAATTGCCACGTGAATTGTTTAAGTGCAAAACATAGTGTATAGAATAATGTGGCCGCTCAACCTGTGTGCCTATATAACAATATGTAATCGTGTAGACAGGTGACTGTAATGGTATTCGCTGCAAAAAGAGACTACTTAAGTGGGTGTCACCTGATGCTGATTTTGAGCCCTCCAGCTTGCTTTTCAAGAGAGGGGCCACTTGGCAATGGTATTGCACATCCATGCGGGCATATTCCAGATATTCCATGCGGGCCATGTTTACATTACTTTTCAGAAAGGACGCAACAGGCAGATGTTATGTGCCTGTCTAGATTACAGAGCATGATGACAATGACAATAAACATCAACATAGGCCGAAAACAACCGGAAAGCGCTGCGTTGTTAAAAATCATTGGAACATCCAGGACCTTCAAAGTGACCTTTTGAGATCCCAGTTTGAGGTCACTTAGTTCATAAAGAGGTCACTTACAGACTCCAAAGAGGTCACTTTGAAGGTACTGGATCTCTTTCCGATCCAAAATGTTTGAACATGGTGTAAATGTAAAACACAACACACACACACAGACGCTTAGCTTCGTCTCTCCTTTAAAACAGAAATATAGAAACACTGTTCAAAGTTTGAACAACAGTTGTTCGAGGCGTTGTGAGAACCACCTTGCATGGTCAAGAATGTGAACTATCCATCCCACAGTCTGCTACAGTCCTACCAGCATTTCGCCCTACGGGACGGTGGACCGAGGTTGTCTTTGGGGCGAGATGATCCTCGCTGCTCCATCCTCAAGAAACTTCACGGCCGAAAGGTGAGGACTTTGGTAAAGAATGTTGACCTTACGCTCAACTGCTGTGCAGTGCCCCCATAGCCCTTACCAGCTACTACTCAGTATGCGTCATTCCAGCCATGTTTGATCATGTATGATCATGTTTGATTAGACAATTGGAGCCTTACCTGAGCTTAGTGGTCCACTGCGCAGGGATTTACCATGATTTACCTCTTTGGTTCGGTGTGGACCATCAACCACCGCAGGTGCACTTGAAGGGTTTCCAGCTCGCGGAGAGTTGGACGGAGCCGCCGAAACCGTTGACGGAAGCGGAGCTGGTGGAGCTTATGGATCAGAATGGCATTGGAACCGATGCATCGATCCCTCAGCATATTCAGACCATCCAAGACCGTGCCTTGACTGGGACCGACATTTTCTAGAGACATACTTATTCAAAAGATGTGCTCACGTAGCAATACTCGATCAGAGATGAAAGAAGATTCCTTTCAACTGGTGTTTTGAATTAATTACTATGTTGATTATTTTTCCAAAACTGTCTTTCTCGTGACTTTCAATCTTTGCCTAAAGCAAAGAATCTGGTTGTCGAGTCGCAGAGGTTGTGGAAGAAGATTCGAGCATTCAGGAGTCAATCCTAGCGAGAATCGGTGAAACAAACCCTCAAGACTGCGTGGAGTACACATATCACCTGGAGTATGTCCATATAGAGTGTACATATATTTTGTCAAAAACAATTTGTATTACACATGATATATATATATATACATATCCTAATTACTGAACGTGTAAAGAGGTTTCGTTACCCCAGGTTTTACCCCTTCACCTTTGTCCATCAAGAAATATGGGAGGTTTCAAATGCTGTTGCAGTTGCGGTCCGACATTCTATAAAGGCATAGCAGACTGACGCGGGCTCCATGATGTTTTGTGGGTCATGTTCAGGTGATCTATCCAAGGATGACTTCCAAACTGCTTCCCAAAGCAAAACGTAGAACATCTCGTCATTGGGGCTGTGTTTGTTTCATAGTTGCCCCTCTTGCTTCCTTCCAACTACCGGTTACTCTCTCTATCTATGTACACATTAATAAACAATGTATGTATATATATATATGGTAATATAGATATAGTATTTCTACATATATATATATTGGCAATGCCTAGACTCTGCAATTCGTTGACAGCACACGTTGCCAATCCATGCCAGGCGCCTATGTTCAACTCCACGACGGCGACGGCCAGCCGATCCTCCCACACTTCGGCCCTCAGCGTGGCAAAGCGCCGCCGAAACGGGCGCCGGGGCGCTACTTGGTGCCCAGCCGAAGAGGATTGGCCTTGGTGAAGGTGGGACTCATTCTGTATTTCAACCGATTGACTCTTCAACTTGAATACGTTCAACACTAAGACTTTCAGATTCTCCTCGATTGGCCGCTTTTGAGACTTCAGCGAAGTGGCTCAGGGCCTCTCTGCCTTGGACGCCTCCTTGTGCGAGCCAGAGGTCCGTGCCCTCATCGAGCGCGAGTGTGCCATGGTGGCGACCGCGGAGATGAAGCAGGAGGAGAGAGATGAAGACAGAAGTGATGGGACCTGATTAGGATCTAATGGGGTGAAGGATGGTGAACAGCTGGGTTGGATGAGAGCTGGGATACATTGGATATCATATTATTGGATCAGTTTCAGAGATGGGCAAGGAGGTGAGCCGTTTCCGAAAGGTTCACTTGCCTGCCGGCTCCGGTTGAAGTTGTCACAGGTTTTGTGGCTCAGGCGCCCAATGGTGGAATATGTTGAGGGGGTGTTACTGTTACGGGGGCGGCGCACAAGATACCAACTGCTATGGGGTGGGCCATCACCATGGAGTTCTAGCCTGGCAGAGGCCATGAGGGTAGTGTTTACATTCCAGTCAGAAGGGATTTTGAATCATCTTAAATATGTATGGATGACCTACTTAAGCGGACATCTTGCCAGTGTCTTTGCATGTGTTAGTGTCGTACTTTTGGGACCTCTCTAAAATTCTCAGACCCAGCCTGAGTACATAGTGTGTTGAGAGTAGATTCGAGTAGATGGCGCAATCCCCCAAAAGTGGTTTACATGGATACGCATCTAAAAAGCATCCTGGGGTTTGTACCATCTACTCTGAAACCACTGTATGAAGCACATCCTTTTTTGCCGCGTTTTGCCACACCATCACCATCGTCACCATCGGCGGCTCGTCGCCTTCTCGTTTCTCGGCTCAGCCAGGCCGTGCTGCAGCGCAACGTGGCGCTCTTCCGGGAGAAGTTCCTCCATGTGGCGAGCTCCATGGACGAGGTGAAGCGTTTCTTTGAGGAGTGCCTCGGAGGGGCGGATGCGGGGCACTGAGGGGCACGGCAACATGGTTTGGCTTGATGGCTCAACAATGCTCAACATTACAAACTGAAAAGGGACTCCCTGAAACCTTCAAGAAGAAGATCAAAGTTGTGACACCATACCGGGCACCGGTATGAATTCCTTTGCTTGACAACTGAGTAGCTGATAGATGGTGATTGGAGCGGAGCTGCACCGTATTTCTGTTTTTTGAATAGTCCAAGTCTCGCAGCCACTCAGGTCCAAGAGCCAGTCGCCAGGATTGCGAGAGTCGCCCAAGCGGTCACGGCGACGTGAGTTCCTGCGCACGCGGAAAATGGTCACGACCTTGCGACCACCACGGCAGAGTAGGAGCCACGAAGCCTGCTTTCTTTTGTAAGACCTCATGGGGCCATTCAAGAAGCTGCTGATTCCAAAGCTACTTGCAGTGTCTTGTTCTCCTTATCGATTTCTCAGATTATATAGGAGCAAGGACGCTACTAGGGGCTCCTTGCCTTACTACTAGGAGCAAGAAGCTACTATGAACAAAGGGCATCGCTACTAGGGGCAAGGACGCAACATAGCGTTCTTCTTCTCTACTTTGACTGCTTCGACATTGTGCATGTTTCATCACCAAGCCCTCAGACCTATCAGAGAGAGGCAGCCACGGCGCTGGATGCTTCCGGATCTGCACTGGTGGTTGGGGCCTAGAAGGGTTTTCTACTGAGAGACTGATGAAGAGTGGATAGGAAAGCCTAACCTTCAAAGCTTGTGACCATTTGAGCAGCCTCACCTTCAAGCCAAAGCTTTGGTTCTGTTCTCTCAGGCTAAATGAGCTCATGTTTCATGATGTTTCATGTATCCAATGACCTGTCGGCATTTTGCCAGCTTCAAGAGGAATCAGCAATTCTCAAGGTGTCAAAGCAAAGAGAACACTGAGGCACGTCTCAAGGCCTTCTCTGGCTTCGGCATCTTCAAGAAGGCCTCGATGGGGCTCAGTGTTTGTGAGGTTGCAAGGACGCTACTAGTAGCTCCTGGCCTTACTACTAGGAACAAGGACGCTACTAGGAACAAAGGGCATCGCTACGAACGGAGCGATCGGACGCTTTTGGTTGGGTGACATGTCTCATCGATCCAAAGGGCCGAAGGGCGGCCGAAGGGGTCTTTTTTGTTGCACATGAAACGGGTTCTCTGTTCGATTCGAAGAATCGTCAAACGTTCTCCTGTTCAAACATGAGGAAAATGAAGTGCTCCTGAGCCATGTTGGATTGTACCTGTTCCTTTTGGTTCCTTTTGAGGCTAGGCTTTTGGGAGACACCAGCATGCTTCGCGGAGGATCCCTCCATTTAATTTGACATGTGGGGAAGGTCCATCAGTTGCACCAAACACCGCCTCAGGCAGAAGGTGATGACAAGGTGGGAGCGGATTCTGACGGAAAGTGTGGACTTAGGGACCGCGATATATATATATATATATTTAATAGATACATATATAATATATATATATAATATTTATATATATATATGTGTTACTGTATATGACTCCAATCGCAGGGTATCCCAAACAAGGGACTCTCAGGCAATGTGTTCGACGCATCAGATACATCAAATTATCATCTATTGTTGCAACTAATTCTATCACACGCCCATTCAGTAGGAATCTAGATTTGTTCTCCTCAGGGCGAGCATAGGTGGAATCTCATTCTTTCAATAGCCGCCACTTGATTCAGGACAACTGTTCGTATCACATGTTCGACTCTGGACAAAGTAACTCAGCATAGTGTGAATTGTGGAGATGAGCAGCGGGTGGACAAAAAGTAAACTCATCAGCTACATGTGGAGGCAGGGCATGGACTGCACATGCCTGCACCCATCTTTCACCAAAACCAACGCTTATGTATTAAAATAATCGTCTTCCGAGTCGCAATCCAACTGATTCGAATTTCCGCTCAAAGACCCACAACGTGCAAAACTGGACTCCACATGAGCCCACACAGAATTGTCCAACAAATGGAGTAAACACATGATAGTACATGATAGATCATGATAGTACCTGATCTTTATTTCCAATGTTAGGAAGCTTTGGAGATCAAGGGAATCCTTGTACATGTAGAGACAGCACCAATAGCGCCTGCAGTCACTAAGTCATTGGTTGTCCACCAGGACGAACCTCTGGTTTCAAGTCCCCGCAGTCTCGTCTTGAACGGACTGCATAGGAAGCTCCGAAAAGCACAGAGGCGCCAGCGTTACGGTCAAAGCTGGGAACGGACCAAAGGAGTCCAAAGGAGTCCAAAGGAGTCCAAAGGAGTCAAGAGCTTATTGGGGTTTTGACCAAAGAGCCGCCCCTTGGTGTGAGATGAGGTCAAGAGTTTTCAAATCGCCACAATCAACATTTGATGCAGTTCCGCGATCCGTGGATTGCTTTGACCTGCAGCTCTGCGATTGAAAACCATCAATGAACGGTGAACCGGGCCTGGTGGAGACCTGAAGACTACTCTTGGGTGGAAAGCAGGGTGAGGTCTCTCAAGATAAGCGCACGTTAAAGCAAGGAAACACATTTGTCGAACTCTAGACTCTAGCTCTAGCGACTTGTATGGGCAATAAGAGCGGAGGGGCTGTTGTTCTTTCCACGTACCCGGAGGCGTTTCTGCAAGATCCACATATCATAGCTTTCATTTGGCCAAGAAAGCTTCCTGTTTTCTTCAGTTCACAAGTTCGGACCATGTTTCAGCCCCGGGTGGCTTTTGAGAGGCTATCTCTCACATCGTGCCTGAACTCGAAAACAGAGTGAGAACAGTTTATTATAGTTTTTTCCTATTCTCAGTTGAGGTAAGTTTGGGCGAAGTCTACAACTAGTTTTGATGTACAAAACCCAGGTGACTGGAAGTGTCATTGCAGGCGGCCCCAAGCACAGAGCCGCCCAAGGAGTCGGATCCGGAGGATTCCAAGGAGGACAGAGGATCTTGTGAGAATGAACTCCAGCGGAGCACCTTTGAGGAAAGAGTACAGTCATGTACAGTCTGTATACATGTATACATCGGATGTACCATGGTGCGCCGGATCTGTTCGTTACTTATGAATGTCAGGTTCTCCTGAGGTGTTCAGCGCTTGCAGGAGCCACCAGCACCACCGACACCGGCTCCTCAGGCTCCTTCACCTCATCAGTGCTTGCCTTCCAAAACCAGCGATAACTTCGGTAACAGATCCCTTCCGGTCTGGTTGCCTTACAGAGGTATTGCCCATATTTCACATGTTTCCACCAAGGAAACTGGGGAGGAGCGTCATGTTGGGATGGAACTCCTTGAGTGTTCTTGTTGTGACAGGGTTCAAGGTTCTCAGAGAAATAGACTGATTTTGGGAGTTGCAAAGTGAACCTGCAAGGATTTGAGAAGAGGGCCACCGTATATTGGAACCCTTCATTGGAGAAAAGGTCTACAAAAGCCTTTGTGACGGACCATTGGCAATGAAAGCCATTGTGTTTGACCATGGCATGGCAACAGGATGGTATGACATCTCAGCTGGTATAGGATGATGTCCATCAATTGTGAACAGTCACCGACCAGGGTGAAATTGAAATGAAACACACCTCTCTTTCTAAAAGGCAGCGTAAACCCCTGAACATTCAGACTGGTGACATAGAAAAGAAGCCAGGTAAATTGAGGATCCACGCACTCACCATTGATCAACAGTCTCGTTTTTTGTTGTTTTTTACCGTTGTAGTATACGGATCCACAAAAAAATCAGACACTGTGAAGGAATTTAATGTCGGCATGACTCTCGCTTCCAAGCTCCCGCCAGATCCCACTTTTTGGAGTTTTGCAGACTCTGTGACAGGTACCTGGAGCTGGAAGTGAGGACCTACTTGGGGTTGGGCCGGTTGGTGGGACATCAATCTACTCTTCATGGCAAGCGTAGTTGATCCAAAAGTTAAACAGCAAAAACGGCAAAAAGAAGCAGCAAAGACCTCAGAGGTCTCCAGTCTGGATCAGTGCTTGCTGACGCCTGCTTTGTAGTGTGATGAGCTTTTCAATTTGGTGGGAATGTGAAGCCAAGGGTCCAATGTTTAGCTCTCATTCCGTCGGCAGGCAATGCTTCTTTGAATGAAGGATCTGAACTTACAGGTTGTCACATGATACTCATTTGATGCCGGTTCTTCCTGTAATATTGCAGAAGACATCCAGCTTCCCCCAGTAGTTAAAGGATATTAAAGGCAGATAGTTTAATAATTGGAGTTGTAAAGGTAGATAGTTTAATAATTGGAGTTGTATATATACATACACTGTATATACATAGCCGCAAGGGTACCTGTATTGTTACCTTGTTTGCCCTTCCTGTGCAGGAGCCCAGAGAATACTGAGAGTTCGCGTGATGCGAAACTGAAATTGGCTGGGCAGAATGCACAGCCCGCCATTGGTCACAGACGTGGTTGGAGTCAAACCCTTGATACACTCCTACCTCCAGTGTTTGCATTCCTAGATTTTACACGTTTGAAACATGTAAGTTTCAGGTATATAACTCATGTTCCATCTTGTGCTCTGTCACTTATGGCCTTAACCTTTGTTCAACTACCTGCTGGTGCCAACGCCTCGATGCGGTCAAAAAGTGTGCAGGTTTGCCGTAGAATGGGGAGAGTAGTTTCAATCTTGAGTTGCAGATAACTCCCTGGTGCTAGAGACCTTGCGTGAGAGAAACTTGATGCAGAGAACATGGTTTGCCTGACAATGAGCATGGTGCCTTGTGCAAGTAGAGTCGCAGGTACATCACAGACACCACCAGCGGTTAGTTTCTTAACCTTGTTGGGTCACTACCTCAATAGTTCTCTGGAGTTTAGAGCAAGCCAAATTAGGGCTGATAGCGAGTCTTAACAAAAATCTCAGAGAGCCAGGCCCATTGTCCTTTTCGGTGCATCAGGCCGACCGCCGAAGCCGTGTCCGGCAGCGCACCTTGGCTTCAACGCCAGATGGTTTACCAGCCTAGGCTACCAAAGGCGATTCCAACATTTGAGCTGAAGCGTAGGAGTACTAGGCTTAATTGATGGAAGGTACGAGAAGGTACATTGCAGAAATGTTCAGTATTGTGTGGGGCACGATGGGCTTGTTGATATACTAGTAATTGTGGGGCATGGAAACTACTGATGGTATTGGTAGCCCACAATGGTTCACCGGGTTTTTTGTGCAATCCATTTCGATGTGCTTCAGTGTTTCGATTGTCAATAGTGACAACATGTGACAACAATTGATTGTGTTTTTCCTGACACTCATGAATTGACACTTAAACCTAACTTAAACGCCTTTGTCGGAATGTACCAGGATTGGATGT